TTGAGCTTATCAAAACATATGGAGATATTGAATCGATATTGGAAAATATTGATACGAAAGTAAGAATCAGTTCTGCTTTTTCCGCGTGGATGTTTTGATATGAAGCCTATTTGTTGGGTTGTTCTTCAGAAATACGTTCCTCCGGATAACTGGCCATACAAACGCGCAAGGGAATTGTTCCGTAATCCTGAGGTCGCAAATTGCGATGAGATCAACGTAAGCCTTCAATTTTATCAATTTTGCTCTAAAGTCTATATGAGATTAGCTCCACTTGCTTCTGAGAAATTGTCTTCCTGTGCGTGCGTCTTCATTTAAGGATATAGATATCTGTATAGTTTATGGATATAGGGGAGAGACTGCCTATTCATGCGATGAAAATTTATCAATCGTTTATTTTATTAGAAAAACCACGTTAGAATACTGGAAAGCCGGCAAGAAGTATAAACAACTGTTTATCGAAAAAAGGCGCCAACATTATACTCTACCCATCAGTTCTCGTCATTTCAGCTGGTATGGAAAGAACCAGATGTTGACGGTATCATTCAGTTCATGTGTGAGGAAAAGAGTTTCGCGTAAGTCAATACTATCAAATTCCCCTAGTGTTCAATGTATAACTGAGAAATATTTTAGTGAAGATCGAGTACGGTCTGCAATCGAAAAGATCAAAAAAGGGCGGGGATCGGCTACACAGGTATGTTGGTAAAGTAATCTTGATCTATCAGAGAGCTGCCCATAGATTTTGGGTGGAATATACAATCACGTATAGTTTCAATGGTGCTTTTTCGGAGCAGAATTCTTGGAAATTCTTGGAGAGGATATGTTTATTTAGTATGCTACTTTTAGGGTCGAATTGATCTGTTTTTCTCGGTCGACAAGACAGTTCGATCAGAACCAACAGCAGCGAAAAGGAAAGCCCAAGAAGAAAAGAAAGCACCAAAGAAGAAGGGCCCTCCTGCCAAGAGGCCCAAGTAAATATAATCGATACGGGTTTGTTTGTCGCACCTGAATTACACGCGACATTCTTTTTTCAGTTTTTTGATTT